AAAGAATTAACATAATTCTTCAATAACCCCGTCAGGTTATTCCACTTTAATCTTATTTTCTTCTAAAAGTTACATAAGAAATTAAACTTGTGGGACTATAAATCAATAATAATAATAATTTATTTAAATTTTACAATTCAGCGTTTTAATAAGACTTTTTTTTCAGTTTTCAAAGCTCTAGATATTGTTCTTTCACTACAATTTAAATTTACTGCACCCTCAACTATACTACTATATTCACCGTAGACTGTATTGTTTTCTATGTTATAAACTATAATAGGTTTAGATGCTTTTTTCATCTTTTTTATTCCTTCTGGACTATAGTTTACTTTATCTCTAGTTAAAGCACTTAATTTCATTATTTCTATAGTCAAAGGACTAAATTCTTTATTTTTATTTAAGTTACCTATTATTTCACGTCTTTCATCACTATAAACAGATTTCATTTTTATTCTATCTAATTCAGTGTGTTTATAACCAAAGCTAGATCCTGCTTCTGTTAATATATTATAATTAGGTAATAAAGACTTTAAATAAAAATCTTCTATATCTAAAAGATTTTTATTATTTTCTACTGTTGTTTTTTCTGTAAATGTTTCTAAAATAATAAAAGAAAAATTATCTAGACCGTATTTATTTACAGCTAACTTTACTATTTTACTTCCAGTAAGATTTATTAAATGTCTATAAAATCTAGTATAAATTTTACCAGTAGAACCTGATCCTACATAAAAGTCAAGAGTTTTTTTATTAAAAATTAAATAAATACCACTTAAACCTTTAGTTTGATCTTTTATTTTTTCTTTAATATTTTGATCTTTTAGATCTTCATATATTAAAACAGGTTCTAAATTTTTATCTTCTAAAAAATCTAAAACTACTTTAGAATATCTATTCGATTTAAATGTACTGAAATATCTTTTTTGACTGTATTTTGTTAATTGTAAATTTATATTATTATTAATTCATTTTGGGCTATGTTTTTCAAAACCCAGGAAACCTGTTACTATCATTAGTAAAAAGATTACTGTACCTATTACTCATGCTAAAGTTCTTGGTGCTCTATAAGATCCGTAGTATATACCTCTACCTATATGCAAGTAAACTAAAAAGAAGAAGGCTGAAGCTGTATTACTATGTAAATAACGAACTAATCATCCATTATTAACATCTCTCATAATATGTTCTATAGAATTAAATGCCTCTGCTACACTAGGATTATAATGCATAGCTAAAGTAACACCTGTTACTATTTGTATTACTAAACATACTCCTAGTAATGAACCAAAATTTCACATATAACTTATATTTGTTGGTTGTGAATGATCTATAAGATAAGCATTAGCTAGTCTTAAAAAAGGGTGACTTTTAAAAATTCTCATTTCTTTTTTATTAAATGTTTAATAGTTTGTTTATTTATTTATAACTTAAATTTAGAACATAATTTATTTAAATTTATTATTATTTACTTAGTATTTATTTAAATAATAAACTATAAATAAATAAATAAAATTTAATTAGATATTCTTTAATAGTATCTACAATATAATATATACAATAAAATTAAAATAAAATTTTTAAGAAAAAGTTAATCTTTTCTTTTTTTAGATGAACTTTCTCCTCTTCCTTCTCCATCTTTAGATGATTCCCCTTTTTCTTCTTGTACTACAAGTCTTTTAGCCTTAGTTGCTTCTTCTTTTGTTCTTACAATATCTTCCTTTTATTGTTCTTTTTCTATTTCAGATATCTCTTTCTTCATATCTTTCATAGTTCAATCTATTTCTTCATTCTTTCAACCTTCTAAATTATTTCTATGATCTCTTTCTTCTTTTGTTAATTCTTTATCTTCTTTTTCGTGTAGATTATTCTCTTTAAGCATCTCGTTTAGGTTAGGAATAACATTAGTATATATATATTCAGAGAATAATTTTCTTATTTTTTCTTCCAATTAATATGCACGTTCTGGTAAGCTTATTATATGTTTCTTATACTCCTTCTCTTCACCACTACTATAAGATGGTGAATCAGACTCAGAATCTGAATAAAATACTTCAGGATATTTTCCTTTATCTTCTTTTTCAGGACTTTTTCCTTTATCTTCTTTTTCAGTCTTTTTACCTTTATCTTCCTCCTCAGACTCAGAATCTGAATAAAATACTGGAGGATATTTTTCTTTATCTTCTTCAGTATTTTTTCCTTTATCTTCTTTTTCAGGATTTTTACCTTTTCCTTCCTTTTCAGAATCAGAATCATCAAAAAGAAATAAATTATCATCAGAACCTAATAGATTTTTTATTACTGGCGCGACGGGAAGACGGTGCAGCGGCACAGGTTGAAGGTGGCCGCGATCCAGGCGAAGGCGGAGAAAGTGGCTGCGCGGGGGGACGGCGGCGGGGAGTCGGACGAGCGGTGCCGGTGGTCGTCGCCGTGCGCGCAGTGCGAGGCGGCCGGGGTGCGCGAGTGCAGCGCCGAACGTCAACGATACCGACCCGGACACCAGGCGAGCGAGGCGCGGGATTTGGCGCGGCATCTCTTGGATAGGAGGGGGAAGCGGTTCCTTAATGTTTGTGGGTTGACGAGCTTAGCAGGTTGCCCTACGGGCAACGCCGTAAAGCTCGTCCCTGCGGGAGGCCCG